GAGGAAAGAGAAAAACAGTAATTGTATGAATCTTACTTAATCAAATAAATCACATTTTTATGAGCAAAAATATCCAGACTAATTTATTTTTTCTAACTAAAATACACATTATAATTTTGTAGAGATATACTAAATATACAGTAAAATGTAGAAATATTGATGACTATAGAAAGTAAGCATACCCATGTAACCAAGCCAGGATATACTCCCTCTTAGTGTTCCTTCAAAGGTGAGCACTATTCTATTGCTATCACTATTACATAATTTTTGCCCACATAAACGAAATCATTTGCATTTATGTACATTTTCAGATTTGTTTTGCTTTGTTACTAGGGGTTAAACCCAGGGCCTTTGCACTGAGCTGTACCACCAGCCCTTATTTTTTATTTAGAGATAGGGTCTTGATAAATTGCTAAATTGCCCAGGCTGGGCTTGAATTTTTGACCCTCCTGCCTCAGCCTCCTAGAGTGCTGGGATTACAGACATGTGCCACTATACTTGGCTACTGTGTGGATTTATGTACTCAATGTTAAATCTGTGAAATTCATCCATATTTCTACACATAGAAGTGTTTTTTTCTTGTTCATTGCTGTATTCTGTTACATGAATATACACTAATCTACAGATATGTTTTTATTTTTTATTCTTTTGTGGACATTTGGATTGTTTCCAGTTTGGGCCTTTTATGAATAACGTTCCTGGGAATATCCTAATATATGGCTTTGGTGCACATATTACACACTTCAGTATATACCTAGTGTAGTCTGTGGAGTAGAAGAATATACTTATATTCAGCTTTCATAAAAAACTGCCAAAACAGTTCTTCAAAGTGGTCATTCCAGTCTACACTCTTACCAGCAGGGATTAAGAATTCCTATTGCTCCATATCTTCCCTACCCTTGTTACTACAGAGTGTGTTGTTTCTTGTTTGTTTAACAGCTGTTCTAGTGGGTGCATAGTAATAGCTAATTGTACTTTCAGTTGCATTATCCTGATTACTGGTAATGTGGAACAAATGTTTTCATGCTGATTAGTTATTTAGAGCACCTCTTTTGTGAAGTTCTTTTCCTCATTCTCCATTTTCTTACTGGGTTGTGAGCCTTTTTCTTATAGATTTGTAGCAGTTCTTTATATACTCTGGATATTGGTTATCAGTGGGCTATATGTATTGAAAAAATGTTGTCTAAGGCTCTGGCTAGATTTTGCAGATGTATAATTTCCGTCTGTACTGGGGATTGAACCTAAGACCTTGACACATGAAAGGGAAGCACTTTATTACTGAGCTACCTCCCCAGCCCATTTTTATTTTGAAACAGTTTTACTAAATTGCACAAGCTGGCCTCAAATTTGCAATCTTCTTGCTTCAACCTTCCAAGCAGCTGGGATTACAGGTATGTGCCACTCTATGCATGGCTGACTTTTCACACTCTTAATGGTGATTTTAACAAGGAGGGGGAATTAATTTTAATGATTTCTAATATATCTATTGTCTTTCTTATGGTTGGTACTTTTTGTTTCTTGTTTAAGAAATAGTTTACCTACCCCCAAGATCATGGAGATCTATTTTAATTATCCTCTAGAAGCTTTAGTGTTTTATCTTCACTGCCTTTTTTTTAAAGAGAGGGTCTTGCTATGCAGTTCAGGCTAGCCTTGAACTCACTATGTGGCTCAGGCAAGCCTCAAAACTCATTGTGACCCAGGCTGGGGATTTAGCTCAGTGGTTCTGGCAACTGCCTCAAAAGCACAAGGTCCCAAGTTCGATCCCTGGCACCAAAAAATAAACAAACAAAAAAAACCCTCATAGTGATCATTCTGCCTCAGCCTCCCAAGTGCTGGGATTACAGGCATGCATCACCATGCCTGGCCAGAATTTCAGTGCTATTGATTTGAGATTTTTGTTTGATGTGTGGCAGAAGTCAGGTTTCATTTTTTCCAGATGAATGCCCAATTTATCCAATAACACTTATTTCAAAAACTTCCCCTGTTCTAGTTGCTTCCTGGTTGCTGAGACACAATTCCCTACACCCACGACTCTAAGGAGGAAAGGTTTATTTTGGCTCACAGTTTGTAGAGGTTTCAGTCCATAGTTGGCTGGCTCCAAGGCAAGGTGGCATGGCAGAGGGGCATCGCAGAGGAGAATGGTTCATGGCATGGCAGTGGGAAACAGAAAGAGACCAAGGAAAGAGGGAAGGAGATAGGCCCTTTCATGCCACAGCCCCAGTGACCTATCTCCTCCAATGAGGCTTCACCTCATTTAGCTATAAACTTACCAGTGGACTAATCCACAGACAGGTATCATGCTGCTATGATCCAGCCAACTCCCCAAATACCACCTACATGAGATTCTATGGGGATATATAGGGATAAACCATAGCATCCCCTACCCCCAAACACAAAAACACTCCACAATACTGACATTTCTGTCATACATGTAGTGATCATACATGGCTGGGACTGTTTCTAGATTCTTTTGTTCCATTTATCTGGTTGTAACTACTAAATTATTGTGTTATCCAAATGAGTAAAAAGTAGTTGTATTTGGGATGCTATGGAGACATATAGAATGTTCTGTATTTGGTTACAAGTCTTGTAGAACAATTTAATGCTATAAAATAATGCACATTTAACTTTTATAAAATTAACACCACAACGTAATTCTTTTTTTAATGAGTGCAAAATAAAACAAAAGCAGCTTCATGATCCAAATAAAAAACTCTGGATTTTCTTTCTGGCTCTTCAAATCCAACTTTTCTGAACTTGATGTCCTCTCCTGTAAAATTAGTAATTGTATGTGAAGGAGTCTGATCACAGCCATCCTAGATTGACCATAGACCACTATAAGCTTCCCACACCTAGGCTTTTACACCTGCTAAAGATGTATAACCATGGGTTAATGGAGGAGCAGAGCCACCCCCAACACCAAGGAGGACCCTTCCAGGCTGCCATATCACTGCCCCCAGCACCGAGGAGGTCAGCCACACAGGTGCCAGCAGCACACCACCCCCGCAGTGAAATCAGAAGACACGTAAACAAATCTGAAAATCAGACTCCTAGATCACCTAAAGCAACCCCTAAGGAAAACAAGATGGAACAATCTGATACTCAACAACCTGGACTCTCTGAACTGGTAACAAAAGATCTGGAAAAAATGAAATCAGAAATAATTTGTCAGATAACAGCAGAGATTGTGCTCACAGTGCAAGACATGATTAATAAATCTAGAGAGGAGCTTAGGAACATGATGGAATCCCAACACAGGAAAGAAATGGAATCCATAAAACAAATGCAAACAGATTACCAGGAGATTTAAAACTCCACTGAAAGTTTATGCAGCAGAATGAGCCAATGTGAAGGCAAAATTTCAGATATAAAAGATAAGATTGCAATTAGTGATCTGGAAAAGAAAAAACTCTTTACAATAGTAAGGGACCACGAGAAATCAATCCATCAGCTGCTGGACAAAGCAAAGAAGAACAACATAAGACTGATCAGTCAATGAAGAAACAGGAGAAAGTGCAGATGACATAAAAAAAACCTGTTCACAGAACTGATGGCAGAAAACTTCCAAAGCAGGGGAAAAGAACTTGACATACAGATAAGTGAGGCACATAGGACTCCAACTAGCCTTGATAAAAAAAAAATCTACTCATAGACATATAATAGTTAAGATTCCAGAAACCCAACAGAAGAACAAAGTTCTACAAGCACTGAGAGAAAAGAAACAAATCACATACAAAGGAAAGCCCATCAGAATCACAGCAGACTTCTCAA